CACCCCCCCCGGCCCAGGGAGCTGTGCGGCACCTCCCCACCCCAGCTCACCTCTGCTCCGCCCCCCCCCCGAGCACGTCGTCGCTGCTCCACTTCTCCCGCCTCCCAGGCTTGCGGCGCCAATCAGCTGTTTGGCGCCGCAAGCCTGGGAGGGAGAGAAGCAGAGCGGGGCGGCGTGCTCAGGGGAGGAGGTGGAGCAGAGGTGAGCTGGGGTTGGGAGTTCCCCTGCGTGCCGCCGCCCCCCCCCTACTTGCTGCAGGCGGCCCCCCCCCCCCCCCCCCCCGCGCCCCCGTGCCCCAGCTCCCTCCGCCTAAATGCCGACAACGACTGGGGCGGCTGAAGATCCGGCTGCCGCGGTCGCCGCCGAAGAAAATGCCGCCCCCCAAATGCTAGTGCCATAGGCAACCGCCTAGGTCGCCTAATAGGTTGCACCGGCCCTGATCTTTACCCTTTACCTCAGAGGTGGAGTTCTCAGGGCCTCTTTCTCCCAGCTTAAGGAAATGCAGTCAGTTGCACTCCTGTGGCCAGAGAGGAGACTCTTTAATCCTCACCTTTCTAGTCCCAGCCAGGCACTGAGCTACTAAGGCCCTGCAGCTCCTTTTATCTGAGCCTAGTGGGCTCTGATTGACTGCTTCCATACTGTGTCTCTAGCCAGGCCTGGAGGACTCACCTTCGCTGCTCATTTCCTGGGGCAGGGTGTAGTAGGACCACAGGGCCTTGTATACTCAGTCACAGAGATGCTATCATGTTGCCAAAGATCCTCTTAAGTTAGAATATGAATCATAGAATCATAGAATATCAGGGTTGGAAGGGACCTCAGGAGGTCATCTAGTCCAACCCCCTGCTCAAAGCAGGACCAATTCCCAACTAAATCATCCCAGCCAGGGCTTTGTCAAGCCAGGCCTTAAAAACCTCCAAGGAAGGAGACTCCACCACCTCCCTAGGTAATGCATTCCAGTGCTTCACCACCCTCCTAGTGAAATAGTGTTTCCTAATATCCAACCTAGACCTCCCCCACTGCAACTTGAGACCATTGCTCCTTGTTCTGTCATCTGCCACCATTGAGAACAGCCGAGTTCCATCCTCTTTGGAACCCCCCTTCAGGTAGTTGTAGGCTGCTATCAAATCCCCCCTCATCCTTCTCTTCTGGAGACTAAACAATCCCAGTTCCCTCAGCCTCTCCTCATAAGTCATGCACTCCAGACCCCTAATCATTTTTGTTGCCCTCCGCTGGACTCTTTCCAATTTTTTCCACATCCTTCTTGTAGTGTGGGGCCCAAAACTGGACACAGTACTCCAGATGAGGCCTCACCAATGTCGAATAAAGGGGAACGATCACATCCCTCGATCTGCTGGCAATGCCCCTACTTATACAGCCCAAAATGCCGTTAGCCTTCTTGGCAACAAGAGCACACTGTTGACTCATATCCAGCTTCTCGTCCACTGTGACCCCTAGGTCCTTTTCTGCAGAACTGCTACCTAGCCATTCGGTCCCTAGTCTGTAGCTGTGCACGGGATTCTTCCGTCCTAAGTGCAGGACTCTGCACTTGTCCTTGTTGAACCTCATCAGGTTTCTTTTGGCCCAATCCTCTAATTTGTCTAGGTCCCTCTGTATCCGATCCCTACCCTCTAGTGTATCTACCATGCCTCCTAGTTTAGTGTCATCGGCAAACTTGCTGAGAGTGCAGTCCACTCCATCCTCCAGATCATTAATAAAGATATTAAACAAAACCGGCCCCAGGACCGACCCTTGGGGCACTCCGCTTGAAACTGGCTGCCAACTAGACATGGAGCCATTGATCACTACCCGTTGAGCCCGACAATCTAGCCAGCTTTCTATCCACCTTACAGTCCATTCATCCAGCCCATACTTCTTTAACTTGGCAGCAAGAATACTGTGGGAGACTGTATCAAAAGCTTTGCTAAAGTCAAGGAATAACACATCCACTGCTTTCCCCTCATCCACAGAGCCCGTTATCTCATCATAGAAGGCAATTAGGTTAGTAAGGCACGACTTCCCCTTGGTGAATCCATGTTGACTGTTCCTGATCACTTTCCTCTCCTCTAAGTGTTTCATGATTGATTCCTTGAGGACCTGCTCCATGATTTTTCCAGGGACTGAGGTGAGGCTGACTGGCCTGGTTCCCCGGATCCTCCTTCTTCCCTTTTTTAAAGATGGGCACTACATTAGCCTTTTTCCAGTCATCCGGGACCTCCCCCGATCGCCATGAGTTTTCAAAAATAATGGCTAATGGCTCTGCAATCTCATCCGCCAACTCCTTTAGCACCCTCGGATGCAGCGCATCCGGCCCCATGGACTTGTGCACGTCCAGTTTTTCTAAATAGTCCTGAACCACTTCTTTCTCCACAGAGGGCTGGTCACCTTCTCCCCATATTGTGCTGCCCAGTGCAGCAGTCTGGGAGCTGACCTTGTTTGTGAAGACAGAGGCAAAAAAATCATTGAGTACATTAGCTTTTTCCACATCCTCAGTCACTAGGTTGCCTCCCTCATTCAGTAAGGGTCCCACACTTTCCTTGACTTTCTTCTTGTTGCTAACATAATGCATGAAATACACCTTAATGCTCTGCACAATCAGTATGGTGGACCTTGCATGGACCTTCAACACCAAGGTGAACTTAATCTTGTATGATCTTGTTCTCACTAGGAACTGTAATCACATTTAAACTAGTTGCTTTACCAATTGAATCACCTGACACAATGTTGACTGGCCCATATAAACATGGACAAGGCAGGGATGATCTAGGTTTACTTGGTCATGCCTCAGCATCGGGGGTAGACTTGATGACCTCTTGAAATTCTTTCCCATGGGTGAACCTTCATGTGACCAAGGTTTTTGTCCAGCGGTTAGGCAGTGGAGTAGCCAGGTTCTAAGAGCAGGGGGAGCAAACATAAAAAAGGCGCCCCCCTTGGCTCCTCCTCTGGCCACGCCCCCGGCTCCTCCTCTGGCCACGCTGTCCCACCCCCTTGGCTGGCTCCTCCGGCCACACTGCGGCCATGCTGCGCCCCCCCATGGCTGTAGAGGGAGGCTGGCAGAGGACAGGGGGTTTGAGGGGAGGTGGAGGGGAGGGATGTAGAGGGAGGGTAGCAGGGGACAGGGGGTTTGAGGGGAGGTGAAGGGGAGGATGTGGAGGGAGGGTGGCAGAGGACGGGGGTACGAGGGGAGGTGAAGGGGAGGATGTGGAGGGAGGGGGACAGGGGGTTTGACTTGAGGGGAGGATGTAGGGAGGGTGGCAGAGAACGGGGGTACGAGGAGAGGTGAAGGGGAGGGAAAGGCAGGGGCACAGGATACATGGGAGGGGTACACGGGGTATGGAGCTTGGGGAGGGGTTGGGAGTGGACTGGGGTCCCCGGGACTCTCTGTGCAGAGGGGGCTGGAGCTGCCCCCGGGACCGGGAGAGCCTGGGAGTCTGCTGCCTGCCCTTCCGCTGCTTCTTTCCGGGGCCCGGCCGCTAGGCCCACCCCAGCCAGCAGCAGAGAACAAACCCCACTGTCACTGCCTCGGAGGGGCTCAGCGCTGGCGCTACCCCTTGGGGGGTGGGGGCAGAAGGCAGCGAGCCCCGCCAGGTGCGGTCCGAGCGAGCTGCAGCCCGGCTCGCCCGCTCAGCCCGGGGGCGCTGCCCTGCCCGGGGCTGCTGGCGGAGCCTGGCTGTGGGCGGGTCGCGCTGACAGACCACAGCGGGAGAGGGGGAAGCCCCCCCCATGGCTGCCGGCCCCCCGCCGGCGCCCCCCCCCCCCCCCGCCCCCCCCGCCGCCCCTTGGGCCGCCCCCCCCCCCCCCCCCCCTCGGCCGGAGCCCAGGGAGGAACGGAGCGAAACCCCCGGACCCGCTCTCCCGGCCGCAGCGCCGGACTCCGCTCCCCGCCCCGGTTGCAGCGCTGGCCGGAGCACGGCGAGACCCCCGGCCCCGCTCCCCCGGCCAGAGCCCCGGGCAGAGCGCAGAGAAACCCCTGGATCCACTCCCCTGGCCGGTTCCGGGCGGAGCGCGGCCAACCCCCCCGCCCCGCTCTCCCGGCCGAAGCGTCGGACCCCGCTCCCTCGGTTGCAGCGCCTGCCACAGTGCGGCCAGACCCACTCCTCCGACCAGAGCCCCGGGCGGAGCGCAGAGAAACCCCTGGATCCGCTCCCCCGTCTGGAGACCCGGGAGGAGCGCAGCCAGACCCCTGGACCTGCTCCCTGGCCAAAGCTCCGGGCGGAGTGCAGCGAAACCAGCCTGCGCCCCCCCTCCCTCCTCCAGCCGCTTTTGGAAAGGCGCGGCTTTGGGGAAAATGTGCTGAGGGGAAGCAGCTGCTTCCTCTGCACCCAGCTAGCTACGCTACTGTGGTTAGGGTGCTAGCCGGGAGGCCCAGGTTCAAATTCCTGTTCTGTCATATAGTTTTCCTGTCTGACCTTACACAAGTCATTTAGTTTTTCTGTGCCTCAGTTCCCCATCCATAAAATGGGGATAACAACACTTACAGAGTTCAGAGGTGTTGGGAGAATAAATGCATTAAAGACTGAGGCAATCAGATACTATGGTAATGGGGGCCCGATGCGTATTTAAAATGGACGGAACACAACAACCTTTCCTTGTCTTCCCTGGCTAGTCATGGGCAGTATCGTCTCACCTAAACTGATTTTTTTTTTAAATGGTGATTAAACACAATTAAATTTTCTAGTTGAGATTAGCTTAATCGAACCAAGATCAAAATGCTGATGTATTCTGATCTCCTGTTATAATAGAAGACTTAAGGCCGGGGTAGACTTCCGGAGCTGACAGGACGAATTCCATTCCTACATATAAAGCTGTTGTTGGCAATACTGGGAGCTAAAATGCTGAAATAAACCTTTGTTTGTTTTTTTAAATTCTTCATTTGTTAAAATCTGTCATTTTCTGTTTTTACGAAGTGCTAATGGATCCCTGTTTTTAGCCAAGTTATTAAAATTCCTTAAGCTTTGCTAGATCCTACTGGGTGGCTTATATATTTTATTTTCTTATTACAGTGTGTAAAGGATTTTTGGACAGATTTTACAACTCATTAAAAGAAAAACATTCTGACTTCACCGTGGCCACCATAGAGAAAGAACTGGTTAACAGCTGCCTGGATACAAAAGGAAAAGAACACCGCTTGGTACTAGTCTCTTTTGTCTTTAAGTTCATGATGCTTTATAAAAAAAATACTGATTAGATGGTTCTTTGATAAAACTGCACTGTTATTTAGTATTGATCTGTAGGGCACTGGTTCAAATCCAGCTACATCAACAGTGGCTGAAAATTATTACCAACTGCTAGCTTACATAAAATAAGTTTGAAGGTTTCTGTTTAATTTCAGGTGTATAAGGGTCCACATTATTAAGACACTAATCAAAGGCCTACACTCTACAGTTGGATGGGCACAACATATTTTTCAAGCCTGTGGTAGGTGCGTCTCTGTATTACTGTGCTGTGACCTGCACAGCCTTGAATAAGTAGAAGAGCTGTCATTGTGCAAGGATGTGGGCTGAGGCTGCAGAGACCAAAGGCCATTAGGCCACCCTCCATTTTGGAAGTGGGGGCCCTCTGGACTGCAGAAGAGACTGGGGCTGGCTGAAGCCTACTGCAGTATCTAACTGCTGTAATGTTATGTTAGTTGTTAATTCCAAGTTCTCCTGCCATGCCTTAATGCTGAGTCCCTCACAATTCAGAGGCTTTTCAGCTGTTTCCCAGTGTTCACTGGGGAGAAAAAATGCCCTTCATTCTTCTTTCTGCTCTGCTAAGCCGCCAAGTGATGATAAGGAGTGGGAGAGGAATCACTGAGCCCCATAGGGAAGAGCTTCTGGGCAGGGCACAATGCTGCAGTGCTATTCAGCACCTCACCAGCCTGGCTTTAGGCTAGTGACAGTCCCGATGACAGCTGTGGTGTCTTTAGCTTTGTTATGCACGGGTGGTCTGTATTCTGCCACTTCAAATCTTTAAGGACTGTTGTTTGCAAAGACTGGCAACCATTTTGTTTTCAGTTCATTGAAGACTGTTAAATGACACGCACACACTGACGTCACTATGTCCTTTCTTGTTTTGTTAGCCTCCTAGAGCCAAGTTTTGTTATTGTTTGTATTTCTGTAGTACCAACACTGCATAGGAGCATGTCCTGGACCAGGACCCCATTGTACTAGGTACCGTACAAACCCTGAACAAAAAGACTGTCCCTGCCCCAAAGAGTCTACGGTCTAAATGTAAGACAAGAGACAACAAGTGGATACAGACAGACAGATGGGGGAGCACAAGGAAGCAACAAATCAGTCTTGGTCAGCGTGATGGGCAGTGGCCTCAACACACCAACTGCCTAACCATTCTCATGCTGAATAGTACCCCATACGCCAAGTAGTCCCATTTTCCTCAGTGAGACTATTCAACATGAGTAAGGGTGGCAAAATCTGACCCCTAATACAAAACAAAGATCCTTCTGGTTGGAAGTATCGGTTTGCTCTCTGCCTATTGAAAGAGGTAACAAAAATGGGCCATTGTTTTCCATCAGATGCACCCCATTCTAGAAGGTGTTATGATAAGATGGAAATGTCCCATTGGTAACAAATTATGATTTATTGAGTTAACAGAGTGATATAATTCATGTCCTGGGAACAGAATTTCATATTTTCAATGGCTTATTTAATAACAATACTTTGTACAAAATAGTAATCAGAGTAAGAGGAATCTGTTATTTGCACAAATCTGTTTTTTGCACAATAACAGCTTCCAAGCTGCCTCATATATAAGGTGTATCTAACACAAACACACCTCGTTTTCTGTGAGATGTGCCAGACCTCAATATCCCAACATTCCACCAAGCATAACAAAGCATTCATTTAACACACCACCCCGGGGAAGGTCCTTCTGTCAAAAGAGGAAGTGGTAGGAGTCTGAGTTTTAGGGTACAATCCTTCAGGGTGCTAAGCGTCCTCAAATCCCATCAACTTCAATGGGAATTGGAGGTATACAGTACTTCACGTGAACCCCTCAGCAGTTGGCAGGCGCCACTCCCCGTTTTGTCTTAATGCTGATGATGTGTCCTGCTTGTTTCAGTGCTATTACATTGGGGCAACAAGCGATGCAGCCACGAAGATCATCAGCGCGGTCAGCCGCCCAATGAGTGCTCATGTGCCTGTGTCGAAGATATGCGAGAAACTGAAGAAGAACGACATTCAGATCTGTGAGCTCAAATATGGTAGGGCCAGAGTCTGGAGCAAACTGGGGGGCCCTGAGATCTAGTTGCATTCTGTACCTAGTTATCCCCATGTATCCCCATTGGCTCCTGCCTACATACCACATCTCTATTCATTGTCAAGTGGGATGTAGAAAGGAAAATAAATAGGTTTGTACTCTTTTTGCTTCTCCAAAATTAGGCCAGAAATGCCCTCCCCCAATTAGAAATATCAGGAGCATTAAGTCTTGTCTTCACTATTTTTGCTGGAGGACTCTTTGGCTGGCTTAGGTATGTGGGTGGGCACTCTCTCAGCCCTTACATGAAGGGGCAGTTGTGTTGAACTCTTTAAAGAGAGGTTCATGTGTTTGAGGTAAGTAGCTGTTAACAAAAAACAAATCATTTTAAACATGGTGAATTAAAAAAACCTCTCTTCTCTCTCTTCAGTTAGGCTGTATTTCCTTTGTGTAACTGATGTTGAATACTTACTTCTTTCCACTTGTCCATGTAGTTTTCTGTGATAAAACTAAATGTATAATGTAAAAAACAAGCAAGGAAAAAAATCCTTGTAATTTATGTGTGTATTAAATACCCTTTCAGGCCAGTATGCACCAGGAAGAAGCAGAAACAAAGCACAACCCCTTTGGTCCTTTCCTTTGCAAGTCACCTTCAATTTGAAGAACTGGCAGGGTGCTGACCCCATGCCTGTTATCCTTCATTTGTGTTTTAACGTCTCTAACCAGAGGCAAAGGCATCCTGTTGTCCAGCTGAGCAGAACCACTCACACGGCACGCTTGGGTATATTTGCAAGCAATGTTTATGCAGGAATTGGAACGGATGCCAGGCAGGGCTTGAGAAGCTTAGGAAGTGAGCTCTGCTAAGCCAGTTCCACAAGGAATCAGCCTGCCCACACAAGCCATTTAAAATAAAGTCTTTACTACTGGATGCCAAGCCACAGAGTGGTGGTGAGGAATGGCCAAGGAAATTACCAACTCATGAAAATGCACCTTCTTCCATTCTCTCTACCCGATTCAGCCAGTATTTCCATCCTGCCTTTAGGACACTGAAATGTCCTGTTCCCCCTCCCCTCCCTCGAGAGTTACTCTGACCCAATGTCCGCCGCACCAATATGTTGCTAAAGCTCAGAGTCCTTAGGGCGCGATGCAAAGCCCACTGAAAGCAGCATGAGTCCTGCCGTTGGCATCAGTGAGCAGTGTTGTCTAGCTTTGCCAATTCCAACTGTGAAGGTTTCTACGCAGAATAAGGGCTACTGTTGAGAAGCTGGCCATTTAACAGGCCCAATTCTTTCCCCTGCGCGGTTGTGGGAGCTGTTTCATAGTCTCCAAAGGCACAATGTCTTTTTATTATGAAGTTGAAAATGATTGAAAATTCTAAAAGAGTAAAATGATCACCAATTTTTTTTTAAAGGGTTTTGATTTTATTTTTAAAAGGACGTATCATGACTCATCTTCCTCTTCAGAGAGCTACAAACTGCTCACCAGTGGTCTCTCTCCAGATAGAAGTGAAATGCTGTGCTGTTCAACATACTCATAAATGATCTGGAAAAGGGGGTGAACAGCGAGATGGCAAAATTTGCAGACAATAGAAAGTTACTCAAGATAAAACTGACTGCAAAGAGTTACAAAGGGATCTCCTTGTTGATTGGGCAACAAAATGGCAGATGAAGTTCAATGCTGATAAGTGCATAATGCACATTTGGAAAACAACCTAACTATACATACAAAATGAGGGGGTCTAAATTAACCGTTGCCATTCAAGAAAGATCTTGGAGTCATCGTGGGTAGTTCTCTGAAAACATCTGCTCAATGTGCAGTGGTAGTCAAAAAAGCTAACAGAATGTTAGGAACCATTAGGAAAGGGATAGATAATATTTCCTCCATATAAATCCATGGTATACCTATACCTTGAATACTGCATGCAGTTCCGGGTTCCCCGATCTTAAAAAAAAAAAAAAAGAATTGGAAGAGGTACAGCTAAGGTCAACAAAAGTGATTATTTGTATGGAATAGCTTCCATATGAGCTGAGATGAAAAAAAGACTGGGGCTGTTCAGCTTGGAAAAGAGATGAGAAGAGGGGATATGATAGAAGTCTATGATATCATGAATGGTGTGGAGAAAGTGAATAGGGAAGTGTTATTTACCCCTTCACAAAACCCACAAACCACCCAATAAAATTAATAGGCAGCAGGTTTAAAACAAACAAATGGAAGTACTTCTTCACCCGATGCACAGTCAACCTGCGGAACTCGTTGCCAGGGGATGTTGTCTAGGCCAAAACTATAACTGGGTTAAAAAAAGAATGAGATAAGTTCATGAGGGATAGGTCCATCAATGGCTATTGGACAAGATGGTCAAGGATGCAACTCCAACTCTGGGTGAGCCTAAGCCTCTGATTGCCAGAAGCTGGGATTGGATAACAGGGGATGGATCACTTGATAATTGCCCTCTTCTGGTCATTCCCCCCTGAAGCATCTGGCACTGGTCACTGTCAGACAGGATACTGGGCTAGATGGACCATAGGAATGTCTATAATGGGACAGACCAATGTTCTTACTTGCCTTAAAAACAAAGATAGGAGTTACAGCACTATGTGTAGCAAGGGTCCTGCTGGGTACATGTGTCAGGTGAATAAGGCAGAAAAATGGTTGCCAAATTTCCTTATATGAGTCCATGTCTTGTTACATGAGGGCCATAAGGCTCTGTGTTGTAGCTCCTTCAAAGATCTAATCACCATCCTTTTTTATATAGACCTCGTTTTGAGCCACAGAAGGTAGGATATTCAATAGATAGAGGAAAATCTGTCCTTTTAATCAGATTTGGTCAAAAAACAATTCCAAATTTTGCAAAAATCATTGAAAAATGATTTTGAAAAAAAACCCCAATAAAAAGAAAATTGAACAATCTGTAACTGGTTGAAAAAAAACACAATTGATGGATTTTTGTTGAAAACTCCAATTTTCAATAGTTACAACCATGTACTTCTTATACAAGTGGTCACTTTGAGGAGAAAAGTTGGGTCTGATCCTGTTTTCACACTGGTGTAAATCAGGAGTAACGCCATTAAAGTCAATGGGGTTTCCACTTTTATATGTGTCTTAATGAGATCAGAATCAGATTTGATAGGCCAGATCCTCAGCTGGTATAAATCAGTGCAATTTTATTGTTTTTCACGTGAGCTGTGCAGATATACAATAGGTGAGGATCGGGTCCCTTATGTTTAACTTTTTGTCCCTCACTCAACTATCACCTGAGTTATAGGAGATACTTTTGGAACATTTGTAGGAACTGGAATTTTTTTCTTTGGCAACACAGAGGAGTTGAGGACAAATAGGAACTCTCCTGTGGTCTCTAAAGCATGTCTCGCGTTCTTTGTTTTTGCAGAAAGGAAACTGGACTTAAACTCGGTGGATCTCTCCAAGATGAGAGTGGCTGAGCTGAGGAAGATCCTGGATAGCTGGGGAGAAGTGTGCAGAGCCTGCATAGAGAAAACAGACTTTGTGAACTTGATTAAGGAGCTGGCACCTAAGTATACGCTTACAAACCCCAAATCAGACCTTTGATACTTGTGCCAACCTCGTGCTTGCTATGGTAGGTCACTCTCTGTGCACAAAGAATGACTGACAATGGAATAGCTGGGCTAAAAAACTTATTATTTGGTTACAACTCACAAGTGCCAAAAAACGGAGTTGCTTATCTAGCACCACGAAAGGGCATAGTACTTGACAGACAAGACAAGGTCACTGCACCAAGGAACATAATATATAAGAATCAAATGGTATTTGTACTGCAATAGCAAATAGAGTCCTCAGCCCCACTGTGCTAGCACTGTACACACACATAACATGACCCCTGGCCCAGAGATCTTATACTCTAAAGTAGAAGAGGAGAGACCAAGCCCCACCCCCCTAAACAAACCCAAAACAGACCTTTGGCTAAACCAGTGTAATGTTGTGTGTAGACAATCTTAGGGCTTGTACTGCTTTGACCATATTGGTTTAAAAACCATTAAATATTATTAACAAAATACTATTATTTTCCATGACATAATATATACCATTATAAGCAATTTGATAATAGTATAACTGCATCCAAAGTAGAGGGTTGCATCAGTTCAACTACATTGGTTTCTAAACCAATCTGTTTACATCAATACACAAACTGTGTGGAGACCAGCCTTTCTGTCTGTTCAAACCTGGCTTATATTGGTATAGCTTGCAATGTGCAGGCACAACTTGTACATAAATAAGCCATGTTTAAACCAATGCAGTAAGTCTCTATGCAGAGGCTTGCACCAGTTGAATTGAATTGGTGAAATTTCTGTAGAAAATCTTCTTTGCAGCCTCTGCCTCATTCATTACACACCTTTTAAATCCTGCAGTGAATGAGGCAGGGGCCTTACAACCAGCATTGTGTAGTGAATGAAGCTGTTATCTCATCCACTGTCCATCTTGTGCATTTCCAGTCCTAGGTCGACACCTTGATATATTCAGGGAAGAGCAATATTTTTATTTAAGCGTTTGGAAACAGAGAAATTAGAGACAGAAAAGACCTATTTGATTATTTAGTGTATTCCTTCTTCCAGTTGAGGTACTCCAGGGGGTCCACAGGCCCTGCTGATTAACTCCTCCCCCTTCCTCCCTCAACTCCTCCCCCTCCCTCCCTGTGCCTCCTGCATGCCACAGAACAGCTGTTCCTCGGCATGAAGGAGGCACTAGGAGGGAGGGGAAGGAGTGGAGATGAGGCACGCTCAGGGTGTGTGTGGAAAGAGGCAGGGAAGAGGAGGGGCAGAGGTGGAGCAGGGGCAGGAAGAGATGGGGCCTTGGAGGAAGGGCTGGAGTGGGGGCAGGGCCTGGGGCTGAGTGGGGGGAGGGAGTTGGGGGTACAGGAAAAATTATAAATCAAAATGGAAGTTCTTGGGTTGCTAAAGTTTGAGAACCGCTGCTCTAGAACATTTTAGAAACTTGCAAACAAACCAACTTACTTTTTTGGTCCATTAAAACTAATTCGTTCCTTCTCAGATATTGACACCCTTCAAGTATTTGCAGCTGGCTAGCATATCCAACTTATTTGCTGCTTGGCCACAACAAGCATATTTTGCTCTTTTAGGATGGGGTTTTCAAAGGATTTCAATGGAATTTTGGCCCCTAACTCCCTTTTTTAGACTCCTTTGAGAATTCCTCAGTTTCTTCATTCTCTCACATATTTTGTTTGGCCTTCTTTGAATTCCCTGAAGTTACTAAGTTGTACCACTAATGTTGACAGAGAGTGTCACTAGATCAAGAAGTTTTGTCCAAGTTTGTTTGAAGTCATTACTTTACATGTATGCACATAGGCCCCAGACCAGCAAGGCACTTAAGCACATGCTCAATTTTAAGCAAGTGAAAAGTCCTGTTGAAATCAATGGGACTATTCACATGCTGAAAGTGAAGTAGGTCTTAATTGTTCTTCTGGATTGAGGCTAACTGATTATGATTACAGAGTTCCAACTCATTTTGCCATATGAAAGTGACCTAATACTCAAACATTTACATTTCAGAAAAGATTTTGTGTACACTGGAGAAAGCGATTTCAGTGCTTATCTTTAGAAGTGTTTGAAATATGGAAGATAGAGGTTACTATGAATTCACTGCCAGATATTTTTATCTTGATTGCATAAATACCTGCATTTAATTGAAATCCAGTGGTGATTTGCATGATTAATGTTTTATGCTTGCAAAAAATATTTAAGCCCAGATCCTCAAAGGTATTTAGGCATTAGGTGCCTTTGAAGATCCAGGAATTAGTGGACCCACATCCTAAATTATGTGGGCCAAAATTCTATTATTTGATACAGAGACAACTCACATTGAATTGAAAAGGCACCTACACACCTTTGTTTCTTAGAGAACAGGCTTCATGACTGTCTCCTTTACATGGGTATAAATCAAAAGTAAATTCACTGAAGTCAGTGGAGTTACTCCAGTGTAAACTGCTGTGAGAAAAGAATCAAGCTTGAGATGTCTGCTGTGTGTGTAGTAGGAAAGAACCAGGCTTATACATTAGTAATGACCAGATCTCAAAAGGGATTGAGGTCCAGTTCAGATATGCTTCCAACTGTAGAGGTGTGAAATAACCAGCCATCTGTGATATGGTAACCTTGCAATATGTGAAAAGCAACAGAGAGTCCAGTGGCATCTTTAAGACTAACAAATGTATTGGAGCATAAGCTTTCGTGGGTGAATATCCACTTCGTCATATGCATGTAATGGAAATTTCCAGAGGCAGGTATAAATATTCAGGCAAGAATCAGTCTGGAGATAATGAGGTTAGTTCAATCAGGGAGGGTGAGGTCCCCTGCTAGCAGTTGAGGTGTGAACACCAAGGGAGGAGAAATTGCTTCTGTAGTTGGCTAGCCATTCACAGTCTTTGTTTAATCCCGAGCTGATGGTGTCAAATTTGCAAATGAACTGAAGCTCAGCAGTTTCTCTTTGGAGTCTGGTCCTGAAGTTTTCTTGAACTAACCTCGTTATCTCCAGACTGATTCTTGCCTGCATATTTACACCTGCCTCTGGAAATTTCCATTACATGCGTCTGACGAAGTGGGTATTCACCCACGAAAGCTTATGCTCCAATACATTTGTTAGTCTTAAAGGTGCCACAGGACTCTCTGTTGCTTTTTACAGATCCAGACTAACACGGCTACCCCTCTGATACTTGCAATATGTGGTTTCTCATAAAGTTTATAGTATTTCCTGCTGCAGAATTACCCTTCCACGAGTTATTTGTGTACTTCTGCTTCTCGCTGAAAGAAGGAACTGCAGTGGTGTGTGAAAATTGAATTAAAGAGAATTAAGTAGAATCTTTTTTGAATTTTAGAAATGGTTCAAGTGCAGTTTGATTTATGGATAAAGAATCAGATTGGTTCTTATTACAACAAACCAGTTGTCTATTTTTATTAGAAACCAGCTGGCTGAATCTTAGCTTGCCTATGCTCTAAATTATTGTCAGTCCAGTTTTTGTATGAAAAAAGACAGAACGTAATGTCTACTTCAAAGCAACATTCTGATCCCATTTAAAATAGTGTAATTCCACACACTTCAATAGAGTTACATTATTGTAAACAGTAGTGAAACCAGATCCTTGGCACCAAATTCTTTGCTGATGTAACTCCATTGACTTCACCAGCAGAGAATTTGGCCCTTGGTTCTAGTAACTAACTTGTGTTTTAATATTTTAAGACTGATTAATATTCCCCCTCTCCCCCAAAGTTAGTATCACCTAATGCTGTATGATCCTTTCATATCTCACAAGCTAAACTTGTCCAGGTGTGGCTAGCTCTTGAAAACCTAGGAAGTGATACTGGTGATTCAGTAGGTGGCATTCTTCCTTCTAAATCAGTAATGAACTAATGCCCTGGAATGGTGTTAATGTCACTCTTCTGCTGGAGGTGCTATCTTCTGCAAGAGACATAAATCGGAGGTTCTGACCTCTCATGGACGTTTAAGATCTTCAAGCATTTATTAATCAGAACATCAGTGGTTAACCCCGAGTTCTTAGACAAACTCCAACTTGCTTAATAACATTCTGCCAAACTACATGTCCCTCCCAGTTTGATCTGAATAAGATATTCTGCATTTCCTACCCAAAACTAGTCTACTTTTGCTGCATGGTGTTAAATTGTGCAACATTTTGTCTCAGATGCCACAGGTTGCTTTGTAGTAGGGTGACCAGACATCCCGATTTTATTGGGACTGTTCCGATATTTGCTTATTTGTCCCGCGTCCCAACCTACCTTCGGTCGGGATGCGAATTGTCCCGATATTTTGCCTCCGCTTCTTCCCCCATTGGATCCCTCCCCAAATCCCCACCCTGGCCCCGCCTCCAGCCCCACCCCCTCACTGCCCCATTGGATCCCTCCACAAATCCCCACCCTGGCCCCACCTCTTCCCCAAGCACGCCGCATTCCTCCTCCTCCCCCATCCCTCCCAGGCTTGTGCTGATCAGCTGTATGACAGCGCAAGCGCTGGAGGGAGTAGCACGCTCCGGCGGCCGTTTTTTCTTTTTTTTTTTTTTGCTCCCCTGCCGGCTTCTTTTTTTTTTTGCTCTGCCCACCTGTGTCCCGATATTTCACCTGTGTGATCTGGTCACCCTACTTTGTAGCAATATACACGTATATTTACTATTGTGTAAATACAGTGCAGAGAGACGGTTAAGGAAGGATCGGATAAACGGGTTTCGCTTTCTAGTCAATAATTTGTTTTTTGAACTCAGTCATGACTACATTTTCATATGAAACTATCATGGAGCCAACTGAACACATATGACCAGATTTTCACTCTCTCTCTGTCAGGTGATGTCAATGGAGCTATGCCAGTTTGCACCAGATGAGAATCTGGCTCATAGCTTGCATGATATTTATAAGCAAAATAATACATGGGAGGATACTGTGTAGCCTCATGGACATTTTAGCAACAGTTTTTAAACCAAGGTAGAGGGAAACATTACTGACAACATATGGGAACAGCGCAATTTGTTGGATACCAAGGATGGCTGGCACACCCTGTTAGCCAATACAGGAATAGCTGCTATCAGCATACACCAGCTTGGAATTGTGTGGCTCTAAAAACGACTGCATTTGCTGATGCCAACTATTTTTTCCTCCATGTTGCTGAGGATGCCACTCCACATACTCTGGCAGAAGAGGTACTTTGTCTCCCCGGGTCCCGTGACAAGAAGAGAAAGCCCTTTGTCCACCTATAGTAGAGCTGGTGATGAAGAAGGAAATGTGAAACACTAGCTACTGTTACCAGCAACTGAGCCATAAAGGATGATTCTGCCAAGAGGACACAAGCTTGTTCAGCCTC